GTATGCGGGAAACATTTTCCTCGGTTCCCACGCCAAGTACTCTCGCGACTCTTCTGCTCTTCGGCAGCACCGCCAGCAGCACACACTCTCGTCCCTTCTCAAGCCACACAGACACTCACACATTCACACACATAACAGAGATCTTGGTTTATCCCAGCCCGAGAAAGAAGACCCGATACTCGTCGCTCCACCCTCGGTTTCTACACCGCGGATATTCTTCCTCTTCATCTTGGGTTTCTCGCTACTTCTCCACTTCTTATTCTCGTTCTTCACTGAAGCGTCCTCGTACTTGGCGCCCGCACCATTCCCACCAGCTCGACATTCTTCAACCCGTCGGGAGTAGGAGATGGAAAGTCCATACGCTGTACAACCACTGGACCGCCCGAAATTTTAACTCGCGGGCTCAAGGTGGGAGGAACTATCCACTAATAACTTTTTTATTTATACCCGACCTTTTTTATTTATTGTTTATTCTTTTTATTATTGTTGTTTTGTAAAATTTCACCGAGTCGCGTGTGAACAAACAGCTATAGGTGACATTCAGGTGATCGAGGTCTAGGTCTATACAATTCAACAATCAGGATAATTCAATAGTGTGTGAATTTATTACTTTTTTTTGAGTAAAATTGTTGAAAAAAAAATCAAGAGATCTTTAAATAATTTATTTAATCTAAGTTTAGAATTTTACTTTCAATTTAAGTTGATTTAATAGTTAAACATACACCAATAATTATATTGAATATTATAATTGAACTCAATAATTTGAAAATAAAAACTAATTTTTAAAACTAAAAAAATACGCCTCAATTACAAATTAAACAAAAATAATGATTAAAAAAAAAAAGTTGATTTTATTTTTTAAAAAAAATCTAAGGTGCTTTTAAGATACTTTTGTGCATCCTACGATTATTTTTACAAAAAAATAAATTTTTTATTCTTTATTAAACTTGTTGAAAATCTTTCATAACTATTTAGTATTTTTTAGTTCAGTTTGCTATTAAACCGTGTTTTTTTACTTTTATAAACTAACTTCTCTATTGATTAATAAAAAATATGATAAATAAATTGAAAAATTGTTTCAAATAATTTTTAATAAAATTAAAATTTTTTAACTGTACAAGTATTGAAGCTATAAAATTAAATCACTATTCTTTTTTAATATAAACCTTCGCTCCAAGTTTTCTAAATATTTATAATTTTTTTTTTTTTTAATTTTAACTTTAAAAAAACATCATTAAAACTACTTGCAACGTTATTAAAAATGTAATGAAAAATATTTTTTGCTCGACTTGAGCAGGGATCATTTACTGCTCCATAATATCATAAATTTTTAATGCCGTCGTTGCACTATCTGCTTCTCTAAAATAACTAAGAAGTTTTTTTTCTTGAAAAATTTCTGTTCTTTTTTTCAAAATAAATTGAAAAAAAAAAAAAAAAAAAATGAATAAATTGTACTATCTTCATTGTAATTTTCAGGTGTCTAGACTCATAAAAAAATTTCCCAATAATATTTAAAGTCTATTTCTTCCTCGAGAGCGTATTTCAAAATAACATAACCAAGATCCACGACCAATAAAAATCGGGACACCCAAGCAAGACACCGAAAGAAATTTCCTGGCATTATGTTGGCAAAAAAATGAAAAGCCACGGCGGCCTCGTACTCGGTATTGACATTTCCTCACGTTCTCCACGTTCTAGGTAATCATTCAGGTAGAACTAGCCTTAGACAACGAATCTGCTCGCTTAGTAGAGACCAGAGTGGACCTAAAAAGTGAAAAAATAATAAATAAACAGATAAAAATAAGAAAAGAAAAGGAAATAAAAATAAGAAAAAATAAAAATAAAACAGTATGACCTCGTGTTGTTGTTCCTTGTGGGAATTTAGCTGATGGAATTTCGAGGAATCCCAGAGGCAAAGACAACACACAAGAAGCTGAATAAGAAGAAGCAAAAGGATTCAAAAAAGCAAGGAAGAAGAAAATAAATTAAATAAATAAATAAATAAAAAAAGTGGTACTTGTCGCTTCTCGTTTGGTTACTCCTGGTGCTCCTGCTGCATTGCCGATACTCGAGAACAAGAAGAAGCAGAGGCAGAGGCAGAGGAAGAGGTAGAGGTAGAAGTAGATGCTGAGGTAGCTTTAGCTAAAGAGTACCTCATACTCAACCAAGAACAACAGCACCAGTACCCAGTACCACCAGCAGAAGTAGCAGCAGCAGCTACGAAAAGGGCATCAGCAGCCGGCACACCTTGGTTGGTTGGTTGGTTGGTTGGTTGGTCATTGGCTCTTGTCCTCCCTGTCCTCTTTACCTCTCTTTACCTCTTTGGTTGTTTCTCTATTCCACTTGTTTCACTCTTAGCTTCTCGTGCTTACTCTTGCTCTCGAACTTGGTGTTCCACATAAATACACAAATACGCTGGACTTGGTGAGTAGGGGCCACGTAGACGTACACGGCCGCATTCCACGGCCCCCGCTCGAGCGCTAAATTTCTCGTGCTCCTCAGTCCCCAGTTCCCCTGGTCCGTCTGCTCCCACTCTACTCCGGTTGTGTTTTATCTTTGGTCTCAAGTCCGGACCATCTCCAACTTATTCTGCTATGCTACTTCCACTCTGCTGATGGTGTCAGGGAGGCCCTGTCCTGAGGGCGCCACCGGGTGCTTCTCGTTTTTCGGTGACAGAGGAAAAAAAATCCAATCTGAATGATTAAAAGTTTGAACTGATAATTTTTCATTGAGGAATTTTAATTATTTTTTAAATATTTTCAAGAGTCAATTGAAAAAAGACAAGAAAATTAAACTTTTAAAAAAAAAAGTAAAATTGAGAATAAAAATTAAACTCGAGAACGTCAGAGAAATTTTGAAGAAAATTTTAGCGAGCATGATGATTAGTATTTTTTAAAATCTTCTTGTTTAGATTTGAATACCGGGTCTTTACTAAAGAGAAATTGTACAAGTGACTAGAAATGTACTACCGCGCCACCATCGGTGATTTTGAGCAACACTCGGAAAAATAATACAAGTACAATTTTAACGATTTTTACTTGTTAAATCAGTGGATATTTAAGAAAAATAACAGTACTTCTAATTAAGGATAGAAAATTGGATGCAGTTGACAATTAAAGTTACTTTTTAATTTTCAAAGAATTATTTTAAAGATAGAATAGATAAAATTAAAATTTTTGAAATAACAATTTTTCATTGAAAATTTTTGATTATTTTTTAAACATCGTTGGGAATAAATTGAAAAAAATACAAAAATAGCACTTTACTTTTACACGATAGAAAAAGAATAGTTTAGATAAATATTGAATAATTAAAATTTGATATTGAAAATCAAAATTGAACTTGAGAATATAGATTTTCAAAAATTTGGATTTCAATAGCTCGGCCTTTTACTTAAGAAAAATAATACAAGTTGCACAGAGAAAAAAAATACTTTTATTAAGAAAATTTTCTTGATACAAGAATTTATGTTCTTGAAAATTTTCAAGAATATATATTCTTAGCTCAAGAAATTGTTAAATTGATTGAAAGAATTTTTACTTCATTTAAATAAAGCTATTCTTTTGCACGCCTCATAAGCGAAGCGTTGAGGTTGTGCTCTACTCTCGACATTTCGAAAAAAGCAGTTTTGTCGAAACTGAAATTGATTTTTTGTTATTTATATTGCACTTACAGGTTAAAATGAGTACACTTATGTCAAGTCAAATAATTTTTCAGGCACATAATATATATTTTAATAACAATTTTTTTGTTTAACATAATAAATAATAACATTAAACATAATCTTTTTTGGACGTCCGTGTATGAATGGGTGTATGTGGCAGAGAAATTGGTCTATAAAAAATGATCATACCGGAATAATTTTTTTTTAATTATCTAAAGTAACACACGACAGAACTTCTTAGTTAATATGAGCGTTCAATTCACTGTCGCTAAATTATTATTTATAAAAAACTAATGTATGACTATGGATTTTTTTGTATTTCTATCTATACATTTTATTATAGTATTTTTTCTCCTAGACCTTGGAGTTATGGCGCCAATAAACCATAACAGTGTTTTCTGTTTTTTATTATTTTGCTTTCTATATTTTATTTTAATCAATTTTATTTTAAAAAATGAGATTATGAGGCGTGCACTTTTGGATTTTCCAAACTTTTGTTTATCTATTATCCAAAGATAAATATTGATGTTATTCTCTTCAGAAACTAATAATTAATAATAGAATATTTGATCGTCAGCGAGTTTCTTGAGCCAAGAAATTCATTGAGCAAAAGTATTTTTTTTTTCTCAGTGTGGGAGAAGTATACTACAGCGCCACCTTCTGGTGATTTTGAACAATAGTCTGAAAATAATGAAAGTACCATTTAAGTGGTATTTACTCATTAAATCATTAGATGTTTAAGAAAAATGACAATGTAGCTGACTAAAAGCAGAAAATTCGGTATACCTGCCGAAATTTATTAACTGCAATCAAACGAAACAATATTGAGGCAATAGTAAAGAAGTTTTCAATGAAAAATTCCATTGATCTGAAAATTCCATTAAAAAAAAAAAAAAATCATTGAATAATTGTGAGTTGTATTGACCCCCGTAGCGGGCTATGGCAGTATACGATGAGTAAAACTGCTCAGCAGCAGATCTACAATAATCTCACACGATAGGATGTGGACATGGATGGAGAAACGAGAGGCGACGCCTTCACCTCTACTCCTTAAAAATATTTTGTTTACCTCTACTTGGGTCTCAGATCCTGGGTAGGTTCTTCTTTGAATCCGGCGGCGGCCTCGCATCTCCGCAGGGCGTCTTTCTCAATCCTCCCGACTCTCTCCTTCATCTTCATCTTCTTAGTCTTGTACATATATAAATACATATATGTATAAGTATCTTTGTTCTTTATTCCCTCACTTAAAAGTTTCCGAGGTTTCACTTGCGATAGATCTCTGTCCTCCTTATTCTACACTTATGCTTCTTGTATGTATGTATGTATGTATGTATGTATGTATGTTCGACAGATAAAAGGTATCGACAGGATTCCTCACTTGTTCTCTTCTCAGTATATGTATCTAATAAAACAGAGTAAGAGAGAAGTAGAAAGAGAAAGAAATAACCGGCCCCCACGCAGGCTTCTTTACATTCACAGACCAAGACTTGATATAGAGACCAAGACCTACAACGACGACCTCAACGTCTTTTACTCGTCGCCTCCGGGTGTCACATATTGCGATAACACACCGCCGCCGCCCCATTGTTTTCACATCCATTCAAATTTCGAATTGTATCAATATTTATTTACCTTATCAAGCTATACATTTTTATTATTTCTGTTGTAACGATATTGTATGTATTTACAATCTGCCTTTATAATTTTTTTTATGGGGATAGATTAATGGAGTAAGTAATGAGGAATGGTAATATGCTGAGAAGTTATGTGGGAATTATTCTAGTTTTAAATTGCTCCGAAAAATCAAAAATCCTAATTAACAGTTGAGTTTTAAATTAATTAAAATAGTTTTAATTAATAGAAATTTGGAAAAGTAATTTTATTATTTTTCAAGTAGAATAAAAATTATACAACTTTGTTTTTGGAAAAAAAATTTGGAGTAGAAGTTTGGACAAAATTTCGTTCAATTTCAAAATTTAAGTGAGAATTTTATTTTTTATTTTTTAAATCTGTCTTATAAAAAATTTTTTTATTAAATTGATAAAAAATTTGATTTTAAAATAAAATAATTGTTTAAATAATTTAGAAGAAAAAAAAATTATTCTGTCCAAAATTTTAGCTTTAATATTAATAAAAAAAAAAAAGTTTATGTTTGTACTTTTAATATATTTAAGAATTCAAAAAAATTCATGATTTTTGATAAAATTTAATTTTTTTATACCTTGCAATTATTTAAAAAAAAATTTTTTACTTTAAAAACTGAAATTTTTGATAGCTATTCGTTCAATTTCTATAAAATAAATTGATTTGTCACACATACTTATTTTGACAATAATTTCCGTTCATAATAAATTAACGACTTGACTGTTTACTAACAATATACAAAATGAAAAAATCAAATTGCTTTTGAACATGCACTTAATCTTTTCTGAAACTTCCGTCGTATTAATGTAAAATTAAGTGATTTTTCAGAGATACTTTTAGTTGGTGTAGGCCCAAAAAAATTTTCTTCCCACATAAATATTTTAATGGGAAAAATTTTTTTCCCGCATAGTCAAAAAATCTCAGTGTAAGGTCTTACTTAGATCTTTTGATGATTGATTATTCCATGGAGAAGGGAATTTGTTAAAAATTTTTTAAGTTTTAAACGTTTGTATAGTATAATAATAGATTTTAGAAAAATAAAAGGAAAAGGGAGGTTCTCACCCCCTTAAGAGCGACTCAATATAAGCTGGCGCATCTAGCGGATAGGATATAGGCTGTGTCGGTGGCCTGATTCTCGGAAGGACCTCATTCGTTGCTGCCTGCTATATATCTTAGCTTCTCTCTCTTTCTTGTCCTTTATATTTATATTTTAAAATATATTTATACATGTATATACACACATATAACTCCAAAAGTATGTGTTGCTGGTGCAAGATGCTGGGAATGAGACCCTCGAATGCATTTCCTTTCTCATTCTCAAATTAAAGCAGCCCACATTCCTAAGTAATATATGACACATAACTTATATTATATTATATTATATTGTCTGATAAAAACACAATATCAAAAAAATTATACAAAATTAAAGTATACAATAATTATTCAGCTTAAAATCAATAAATATTGCATGACAAAAATTACTAGCACTAAATATATTAAATGATTAATTTTTCAATAAATTTTAAAAGCAATATCGCTGTAACAAGATGAATTATCAATATTTTAATGGAAAATGTGGCAGAATCAATTTATAAAAGCTACAAAATATTTAAAACTTGATACAAACAAATTTATTACTGCTAAAAAAACATATTTAACAATAAAAAAGCATAAATTTGCTAATAAAATCCGATTTTTTAAATAAAAATATCGTCAAAAATTTATTTCTATTAAATTTTATTCAAAAAATTATATTTTAGAGATTCTGTACTATTTATAAGAAGAGTTTTTTTGTTAATATGATTATCGAAATCATTATAATATAATTTTATTGTAATTTGCGCAGGTTATGAGTCCAGGCTACAGGTTATGGGCCCATTATAAGTATATAATTTTCATTGTAATTGATAATGGCATAAAATATTGTAGTACAGAACTGACATTTTGAGTTAACTTTAAAAAAACTAGCGCGTGAATTTTAAAATTTCTTACGCCATTACAAAAAATATTTTAAGCAATTTTGGTAGTTAAAAAATTTTTTAAAACACTAATTTATGTTTTCTAAACTTATAATCAAAAAGTTAAAAATTATAAATTTGAAAATTAAAATAAAAAAATAATTAAAGTTTTAAAAATCATATTATGAAAATATAAAATTTTTAAGTTTAATTAAATTGAAATTGAAATTTTTAAGTAACTAAGTGTCAATTTTAAACAGCCGGAATAATTTTCACTGAAATTTGACCCCAATTTTCCTTCTAAGAAAATAAAATTAAAACGAAAAGTTTTTAAAAAGTGACTGGGATATTATCAGAGGATATAAAAGATTTTGTTGGCGCCACTCTGGTATTTTCAGTGAATGACTGGACCAGGGGCAATTGGATTGAGAAAGCAGATAGCATAGGCTCGAGGGGAACCGCGTCAAGGATCAAGCGCCTCAGGAGCATCTTCTTCTTCTCCTTCTTTTCTTCTTATTTTTACTCTTATTATTCTTTTCTCGTTCGTGCTTGGCCTAATTGGCCCAGGAATTTCGAGAGTTCTCAGTCAATCTCTTTGCTTTTTCTCGCCTAGCCGCGAATTACCATTACGAGTCCCTATTTGGCGGTTTCGCGGTACCCAAATTCACCTGAAATTAACCTCTACTCCGAATACCTCAACGCGTATTTGAATAATCACTAAAAATGTGTACGTACTACGAATATAAGAATAAATTTAAGTATGTAATTAAATTTACGTGTTTTTATATTTAAATTTAAATTACATGGAGTTTAAGCGCCGGTGGAGCTAGAGGATGTGGGAGGAAGAGGACAGAGAAAGAGGAGGAAGGAGTCAGCTCCTCGATTCCAAGAATCTTGGGGTAGGTCCTTTGAAAGAGTAAAAAATCCGACTATAAAGAACAGCTCCGAAGAATAAAAATAGTAATAAATAACTGCATGAAATAAAAAGAACAAAAAAACATTTTATTTATATTATACCGAGTAAAGAGAATGAATAGTTTTTCATAGGTAATAATATGTAATAAAAATAAAACGTATTTTGGGTATTTCTTTGAAAACAATTTTTATTAATTTTTGGTAAAAATTAAAATTAAAAAAAATTTTTTTTTTTTTTAATTTTTATAAAAGAAAATTTTAATACTTAATATTAAGCTAATTTTTATGAATAATAATAATGATTATTAGTAACTTCAAAATTTAAAATTCAATTTTTTACTGAAAAAGTTTTTTTTTTAATTTCAAAATATTTAAAATAGTTTTTGAATTTCTAAATTTTTACTTCATACTCCATAAAATTAAAAAAAAAAATATTTAGTAATTTTAATAAATTTTTTTTTTTTTGTTAAATTACATTTTTTAATTTCTAATTAAATATTTTTTTAAATTACAACTCGATTTTATTATCCAATCAATTTATTTTTATTTCAATGAATAATTTCTCCGTTATAATTAATAAATAAATTGAATATTATTTAATTTCAATTGAAGCCATTAAGTTAATTAATAAAACTTGAAAGTAAACTTGCGACCTTTGATAAAAATGAAGAGTTAAAATTTTTCGGAAATTTATTCTTCGTCAAATATACAGTTAAAAATAAAATAAAATAAAATAAAAACTTATAAAAGATTAAAACTTAAAATTCCATCAGAATTTATTGTCGATTAGTATGTTACGTGTGTGCTTTTAACCATTGAATCAATTCCCATCGGCTTCACATCGGCGACTTACCGGAGTTTGACTTAGAGATTTCTCGGAAATTTATATGGTTGAGAAAGTTGGATAAAGTCAAGCAACAAACTAAACGGTATAGTGTATAGTCTGTATGTAGTTATTTTCTTCTCTTTCTATTCTGTTTTATGTTCTCGCGATACAAGTAGAGGGAGGAAAGGCGCGAAGAAAGGAAAGGAGGGGACAGGTGAGATACGAGAGCGGATACTGCCCGATAAAACCGTGAGAAGAAATAAAAAATAAGAAAAGTCTTTTATAAATAAATACTAAATATTTAATATTAATATCAGTGTTTATTTTAATTTAAATTTAAATTCAAATGAAATGTTTAATTGCAGAGATAAATGCCTCGCCACAATGCCAGTTAAAATTTTTTAGTTTACTTTAAAAAATAAAGGTTCCAAGAAGGACGTTGCTTTCTGAATAGAGATAAAATAAATTTAAAAAGTGTCCTGGACCTTCGTCAACCAAGTCTCATCTCTAAACCTGTCCTGTCTTTAGTATTCTTATTTTTATTCTTATTCGGACGGATAGAAGAAGTAGAAGTAGAAGTAGAACCAGAACCAGAGGGTTGATTTTTGAACCTCCCGACAACTATTTCCGAGAATAACATTCCGTAAGTTTAAAAAATGTGTACACAAACTAAAACGCCACAACTACAAACTGGTCCTGTTGAAAACAAGCAATTGGAGTTCTCTTTAAGATAAAATATATAGAAACTGATTCTCCTCGAGGGATCTCTCACCTCTACCTCTACCTCTGCTGCTACGTGCTTCTTTATTGCTCTTGGTATTAGTATATTGGTATTGGTATTAATACTGGGCGAGACGAAAAAGGACGCTTGAAGGTATTGCTCAAGAAGAATAAGAAGAGAAGAAAAAAAGAAAAAATCCGGGCAAACAGCTAAGAGCAACAGAGAAGAAATAAAAGAGGTGGTTAGCGATTGGTAGGTGGAGATAAAAGGGATACTAGCGTTGGCGGTAAGACCAAAGAGTAGCCTATAAGACTCCAGTGAAAAATAACTCCAAAAAAAATATGCACCGGCATAGCATGAGAACGAGGTGAAGAAAAATACCGTACTGATCATTGTTATTCGTGAGAATAACCTACCTATATTTATATTTATATTTATATGTTTATGGGGTGCTGATATTCTTTTTAAAATTATTAGGCCTACGAATAACAACTCCTACTAGGGGCAGTTTTTATAAAAAATACATTTTTATTGATGTTATTATTTTTATTTGGACATTTTTTAAAAAATTTAGATTTTTTTTATAATTGTTTATAAATTCGTATTATTTTTTTTTAATTAGTAATTTTTTTAACAAATAAATTTCAATTCTTTTATTTCAGTATTAATTTTGAAAAAAAAAAATTTATAAATTTTACAATAATTATTAGATATTTTTTTCTAATAATTAGTATCAACTTTTTTTAATTAGTAACTGTTCATAATTAATTAAAATTTTTTGTTCAAGTAAAAATTTTATCAGAATAATGGTTCTTTAATCAATTATCATTAATTTTTTTAAATAATAAAATTAAAAAATTTTCTTCGTCCAATACTGACTAAAACTTCAATGAAAATAATTTACCTAATACAAAGTGAGATTTTTATAACCGGAAGATATTTTTTATTTATTTTTTCCAACAATTATATATAATAATAAAAATAAAAAGTAGGATATTGAGAAATGACTAGAGAGACTAATGAATACCTCAGGCGAGTTGTAAAGTGAGAGACTAGAGGCGAGAGTGGACACGCGGCCCTGCGGGCAAGGCAGTCGAGTTTCTCAGTCCAGTATCTTGTCATCGTGTTGTATGTCTCGGTTCCATCCCATCCCATCTCATCTCATCTCATCTCATCTCATCTCATCTCATCTCATCTCATCTTATTTCGACTATACCGCTACAACTATTTGGTCCCATCTGATTATATCAATACTAATACCGACAACTGGTACTAGTACCGATTTTGATGATCAAGTAAAAGCATAATAATCCTCAATACTACCAGTTTTCGCCAGACACTTGGACGCGCAATAACAACTACCACGACAACATAATATAACCGCGACAATCTTGTCGATTGGCCGACACCTCGCGGGCTCGTTTGGCGACTCACAGTCTAGCTGGTGAAAACACGAATTTTTTTGGAGTTGGCATGTAATTTGCATATTCTTTATCCTTATTACACTGTTTATTAATTAATCTATTATTTATTTAATTTTATTATTATTAAAATCAACTTTTTTAATTTAATATTGTCAAATCATTGTCTAGTTACTTAAAAAATGGTCATAACTCCGAAATTACTGATTTTAGAGAAAAATTATGAAAAATCTTAGTTGAAATTGGAAATTCACTTATGAAAAACTTTTTTGCTATTATTATTTTGTAAATATGAGTATTTAGGAGCGAAAATGGATGAATTGAAATGATTTTAAAGAGATGGTCAAACGATAGCTTATAGAGTCCTATCCGGGATGCCTGAGAATTCGTTGATTGTACCTGGGATGATAAAAGAAGGAGTGAGAGTTGGGACCGGAGGATAAATAAGGAAGAGGGAATAAGCAGGGAGAGGAGAAAAGGGAGGACTCGGACATTCCAGTGGACCCCAGGTAGCATCGGAGGAATGCAGATAGGATGAATGAGGTGGTCCATGGACGGACTTTCGTCCACCATGCTAGGCAGCTATCCTACTTACTCACTTACTCACTTACTCGGCTGTAAGTTTGCCTGGCTGGTTGTTAATACTTAAACTTGGATGGCATTTAGCTCGTTACCATTACCAGCTTACCGGCTTACAGCTCCCTTCTGTTGATACCCGCTCTCCAAAAGATCAAGTGGAGAACCAACAACCATGGAGATGATGAAGAGTACTCAAGATACTGCACCTTGCATTCCACCAAACCCTGCGTAATTAACTCGCTACTTTATTTTTGTTTTGTTCTACTACTGATCACCTTCTGCTCCAGCTGTATCACTTTTATCGAATTTTATTTATCACTTATTATAATTCTTATTATTTGCTAAGATGGAAAACAACATTTTTATCAACTATAATTCTGATTAGTTTTCAAAATAATAAGGTAAAGTACCCAGTACTTGATGAACACTTCTAAAAATGGAATCAGTAGTTGAACAGACTTTTAGAATTGCTGTAATACAAAATCTGTATATATATATATTATGAGTCATATGCGCATTTTATAATTATTCAATGATACAGTAATTGATTTTGGTAAGTTTTTTCAATTATAAATCAAAACAATTACATTTTTCTTAACTTTAAAGTTGACATGTCAAGAATCGCCGATAGATGCTATTTTTTTCATGAAAAAAGTATTAAACCGTAAATCGAAAAATCAGTAAAAAAAAATCAAAATAAAGTTAGCCGATATTTCAAAATTTTTAGAAATTTTTTATCAAAAAAATTTCAACTAAACAATGAAAATAGATATTTTTTGCAAAGACATTAACTATAATTTTTATATTAAATTTTAGCGTTCAACTATACCTCCCAATTTTCAAAGCGGTAACCAGAACTTGAACAAGCTGGGACCGTATAATTTTAACAGCACTCTAACCTTCAATAGGTTTATAGACTAGTGATCAGTATTGTGATTTGTATTAATTACTGCAAATTAAATAAGTTTTATAACTAAACATTAGTATAGTTAAAAATTATTGAACGTTTTGAATTGCGTTTTTTTTTTATTTATAATTGAAAATTTACTTTGTCATTCATAAAAAATGTAATTAATAAATTAAATACAAATATTTCTCATTTTTAAATGAACATATTTATAGTATTATTTTTAATATTCTATCTATATAAA